GCCGAAGGCCTTGAACAAAGGGGAGCCGCGAGTTTAAAATATCCGCTTCGCGGATATTTTAAATAAAAATATTATTTTGGCGGTCCCTCGATAATTATATTCAGGTCTAAACAGATTAAGGCTTTCCCCCAACAGTCGCCGGGACTCTTAGTCCCAGCGGGCTCTGCCCCCTGGACTACTAAATTACGATATATCGATAAAACAATAATTACCTTGAAAATAAACATCCTGAAGTATATAAATATAAGTAACAAATATTTTATATATCTTGTATCACGAGGGGATTAGCTTAATGGTAGAGTGGTTATCTTACACATAACTGGCAGTAGTTCGATTCTACTATTCCCTATCATCTTAGATGATTAAATCATCCAAGTAACCATTTTAATGGTGTTATATTAATAATGCCTATTTGGCCTCCTACTTAAGTACAGGCTGAACCCTTCGATTATTTCGATGGATTTTCGGATAGATGACCGAATCGGTAAGGAAGTAGTTTGCTAAACTATGGATTTAATAATCCTTGTGGGTTCGAGTCCCACTCTATTCATTTAAGATGGAGCCAGGGCCAGGAGGGCCCCCACAAAAGGCTGCGTCTTTAGCCAGTTTAGCCTAGGATTAATCATTTAATATATAATATATTATATCCTGAGTCCCGCGGGCCCTCGTGATTAATAATTAATCTTTTCGATTGTGTATTATATATAGGTATTATACACATTAGTAAAAATAAGATTAAAAAGCCCCCGGGTCGGGGCACCCCTGGCCCGGTGGGCGGCGGGGCGCCCGCCCCGTGGATAAAATACCAATGGCCTGCAAGAAAGCGGGCCAATCTAACCTAAGCTGTAACGTAGAGATTATTAAAATAGGTAAAGAATGACCAATAAAAATAGCTTTATACGTAAAAGGTTATAAATTGGCTTAGCATAATTGGTAATGCACTTGATTTGTAAGGTACTTGCTCGATAAATTATAAGAACTTGTATACCTTATATCTAATAAAGGGTCTAAATATAAGTAACCTAAAGGACCGGGAGCTTTGTATGAACCTAATTAGTAAATCAAGTAACACAGTAATCCACCGATCTGAATATTTTGTATAAGTAATGGATTAAGGGGTTGTAACTTAATCGGTAAAGTTCCCGACTTTTAATCGGTATTATTAGGGTTCAAATCCCTACGACCTCAATTAATTTGTTCCAAATATAAGTAAAGAATAAATTTTTAAAAAGATCTGGACGTAAAACGTTTAGGATTAAAAAAGGCCGGCCTTTGGCCGGCTTTTTGAGGAGTATAGTTAAGTTGGTTATAATTGGGATCTCCAAAATCTTTGTCGTGGGTTCGAATCCTACTACTCCTGGTTATAAAAGCCAACGACGGTCAAAGAGCGTCTTAGGCACCCTTGGTATTGTTCAGGCCGAAAATTGCCTGAACAGGTTTTACCTAAGATCTACAAGCCAGAAGTTGTTTATATTCTAAAATAATTATAATATAAGAATAATAATCACGCGGGTATAACCCGACATTATCTAAGTGGTACGGAGATATTTTTTCTCTGGGCTTTTATCAGTCTGGTAACTCAATCGGTAGAGTGATATGTTGATAACGTATAAGTTAGAGGTTCGATCCCTCTTCAGACTATAAAAATATTTAAGGTCCCTCGGGCGACCCCTCGCCCGGAGGGGCCACGGGGCCGCCCGGCGGACCCACGGTACAATAAAAACTGGTGTATATATTTAAGGCCATTTTTAAACTATAGATCTTGACTCTTTGAACTAGGTTTAGCCCCGGCTAAATATATAAGGTATATGGCTGACTGGTAAAGCATTTTACTTGAAATAAAACATATGTGGGTTCGATTCCTACTATACCTAAATTATAATTATTATAAAAGACGTCCTTAATATAATATTAATAGACCAAGACTTCGCCTAAAATTCAGGGACAAAAGAAGTTTATCCTTAAGTATAATTAATTATTATTAAAAAGTCCCGGTAGCTTAAATGGTAGAGCGTACGACTGAAAATCGTAGTGAGGAAGTTCAATTCTTCCCCAGGACAACGATAATAAAGGTTTTAATCATATATATATAATTCTAAAACAAATTTTTAATTTTTGGATATATATATTATATATTAAATTTTATGTAAAAGTATAGAGTTTTTTAAAAATTATATTTAAAAAACACAGGAGGGCTACCCCCTGAATCCTTGACGGTGCTTTGCGCCTTTAAGACGAAATTAAACTTTTTTCAAACCTCGATTTTCGAGTTATTATAATGAAACTTATAGGCTTAATTGCAACGGACGGCACCTGCTATCCCGGGGCCAAAACCCTGAAAATAGTGAATTAAAGGTTAACCTTATTGGTTTTCAAGCTTGTAAGAATCAAGGTCAACTTAGTTGACCTTGATTATAGTATTACATTTATAAAGTTAACTACAAATAAACATAATGAATTTATCGATGGTATTATTTCTTATTGGTATTCTAGGATTTATTCTTAACCGAAAAAATATTATTCTAATGCTAATCTCCATCGAAATTATGCTATTAGCTGTAACGCTATTAATTATCTTAAGTTCATTTAGTTTTGATGATATTCTAGGTCAAACTTATGGTATTTATATCATTGCGATCGCAGGAGCAGAATCAGCTATTGGACTAGGAATTCTAGTTGCATATTATAGATTAAGAGGTAGCATTGCTATTAAAGCATAATGTATTTAGCTATTATTACACTACCTCTATTATCAGCTACTGTAGCTGGATTTTTAGGGAGAAAAGTTGGTAAAACTGGTAGTCATTTAATTACTTGTAGTTCTCTAGTTTTAACAGCTTTATTTGCTTTAGTTGCTTTTTATGAAGTAGGATTATGTCAATCACCAGTTTCTATTAAATTAATGAGCTGGATTGATTCTGAGTTCTTACTAGTATCTTGGGGATTTATTTACGATAGTTTAACTGTATCTATGTTACTACCAGTACTTATTGTATCTGCTTTAGTACATATTTATTCTACAAATTATATGAGTGAAGATCCTCATAATCAAAGATTCTTTGCATATCTATCTATGTTCACATTCTTCATGTTAATGTTAGTAACAGGTGATAACTATTTAGTAATGTTTATTGGTTGGGAAGGAGTAGGTATTTCATCTTACCTATTAATTAACTTCTGGTTTACAAGATTACAAGCTAATAAAGCAGCTATTAAAGCTTTAGTTATGAATAGAGTAGGAGATTGGGGGTTCAGTATTGGTCTTTGGGCTATTTTCTGGACTTTTGGTAACCTTGATTTTTCAACAGTATTCTCACTGGCTCCATTTATTAACGAAGAATTAATTACAATTATTTCAATTTGTCTATTAATTGCTGCTATGGGTAAATCTGCTCAAATTGGTCTTCACACTTGGTTACCCGACGCAATGGAGGGACCTACACCAGTTTCAGCATTAATTCATGCAGCTACTATGGTAACTGCAGGAGTTTATTTACTTCTACGATCTTCACCTATTTTAGAATTTGGATCAACAGCTTTAATTTTAATTACATGGGTAGGTGCATTAACAGCATTCTTTGCAGCAACTACTGGATTATTACAAAATGATTTAAAACGAGTAATTGCTTATTCAACTTGTTCTCAATTAGGTCTTTTATTCCTAATTTGTGGATTATCTCAATATAATGTAGCATTATTCCATTTAGTAAATCATGCATGGTTTAAAGCCCTATTATTCTTATCTGCTGGTTCTGTTATTCATGCAATGAATGATGAACAAGATTTAAGAAAATTTGGTGGATTATCTAGATTATTACCATTTACATACTCTATGATGGTTATTGGATCTTTAAGTTTAATGGCATTACCATTCTTAACAGGATTCTATTCTAAAGATTTAATTATTGAATTAGCTTATGGACATTACAGTTTCTCTGGTAATTTAGTATATTGGTTAGCTTCTGTAGCTGCAGTATTTACAGCTATGTATTCTATCCGATCTTTATATTTAACTTTCTTAGGTTATCCAAATGGATCAAAAATTAATTATCAAAATATCCATGAAGCTCCACTAATTATGGCTATTCCATTAGTAGTATTAGCCGTATTTAGTATTTTCTTTGGTTATGTAACTAAAGATTTATTTGTTGGAATGGGAACAGATTTTTATAATAATGCATTATTTATTCATCCTAACCATTCTATCTTAGTAGATACTGAATTTGGACTTCCTATGTCTATGAAATTCTTACCATTAATTGGTAGTCTATTAGGAACTTTTGGAGTTTTAGCTATTTATTGGATTTTCGATTCATTACCTAACCAATTTATTAGTACTAGTCTAGGTCGAGGAATTTATCGATTCTTTAACCAAAAATACTTCTTTGATAATATTTATAACAATTTTATCTTAAATAAATTATTAGGTTTTGGTTATACAACTAATAAAATCCTTGATAGAGGAGCAATTGAATTAGTTGGACCTTATGGATTAGTTAATGTATTTAAATCAGCTTCTAATAAAGTTGCTTCATTAGATTCTGGATTTATCCCTACATATGCTATGTATATTTTCAGTGGTTTAATTCTATTTATTACTTCAATCTTCTTTATTGGGGACCCAAGACTATTTGTTCTATTATTATGGGCAGTATTCTTATTACCTAATAATACTAACTCTACTCAAAAATAATAACCCCCCCACTCCCTCGATATCATAATTAATACCTTCTCGTGGTGATATTGTAAGTACCATTAAATTTATGGGAAACTAAATTAATTTATATTATACTACCTCAGGCCGGCTTTTTCTAGACGAAAAATTACCCCTCCCAAGGCCTAATTTTACTATTAAATGACTAAAGGAATTTAATAATATATCAGAATAATAATAAAGTATTAATGTAATATATTTTAATAATTATGTCGTTATTAAATGATCATTTTCCATAAATAAAGTCAATAAAAATACCGGATAATCATTAAATGATCATTGAAGGCCATATAGCATATACCCTCGAATAAATTAGTAATAGGGCTATGCCCCATTCATAATTGGTGAGGACGGGCCCGGCGCAGCCGGACCGATCCAGAGGGGCTGTGCCCCCCCGGATTATGCTATAATTAATAAAGTATTTAGTTAAGGGGAGGGGGGGGG